TTTAAGACGAAGCAACATGATGTCAATTATAATCATCAATTGCATTATGAGGACTGATTCTGCTCTATGTTCGGCGACTTTCTAATCTGATGGCATTTTATCCAATTCCCTACCAGGATCTCCCGTCGAATGAAGACTTCGATTATTATCTGACCGCTTTCTGCATTTATCAGCAAGCTAGACGGAATAGCCTAGAGACGAGTTACTCGCATTGGGACTACGCGGTTCTGATCTCTGGTAGGCAGTGAGCAGAAGGTATCTCTGAGCAACTGAGACACCGGAATTTCTTTATGATATTGCATTCTAGTCAAAGACGATTAACCGAGCTCGTTGCAGCGATGAGTATGTACGCTCGGAACAAACGCGGCGAGAGGATGAACGATGTTGTCGGTATGACAGCGGTCGCTGGCATGTGCAACGAGCTGCATTCGTGCGCTATCCTCCAAGGCCGAGATTTGCAGAGTGCGCACATAATCGCACACGAAATGGGCCATTCGCTGGGCATGGAACACGACGGCGAAGGTGACAACAGACACTGCCAAGGAAACGCTCACGTCATGTCGGCGACGACCGGGCTTTCGAAGAAGTCGTGGTCCGACTGCAGTGTGCAGTCACTGAAGCATTTCTTGCAATCGGACCGAGCCGATTGTCTGTACAAACGGTGAGCAGTGCGCCGCGCTCGTTCCGGAAACTCAATCCAAAATCCATTTCGGGACGGTGCGGCCCGAACTCTACCAAACGATCATACTGATATGTGAATGAGATTATTCGCGCGTGCATTCTTTCCAATATTGAGGCACACGCATCTAGAGAGCTCGGAGCAACGAGGCCTTCCGGATCTGGGGGCGCTGCCCAGGGTTCGAATTTGGCCTTTATGACACTTGCACCGGGGAAGAGCCGGAGTTCGAGTTCGGAGAGATATGGAGCAAAATCGATATATTTGGTTCGCAGGACGTCTTTGAAGAACCTTCTCTCGATGCCGGAATCCGAAATCCTCAAGAAGTTCCCAGGGATGAATTTCACAGCGGACCAACAGTGTGAGATGAAGTTCGGCGACGGATACAGGAGATCGAGACGGCAAGAGCTGAGGGACGTCTGCCGAATTCTGAAGTGCGAACGTGAAGACGGATCCCACGTGATTCTCTCGAGTGCCTACACTGCCATGCAAGGCACCAGCTGTGGACCAAGCAAGGTGATCAGACCGTTGAGGCTCGATTTTTTCCCCAATATCTTTGGATCAAGTGACTGAAAGCTTCTGTCCTAGACTCGTTCTCCTAAACATTTTTTGGAAATTATGCCGTCCCACGCCTACTCTTTATACCTTGCTATCAGAGAGGATGATATGTTTTTGGATCAGGAATCGAAGTTCGGAGAACATTTCAGTGGTGTCGACACAAAGTTTGCTCGGAGATACCGTCGACGGAATTTCCGAATGCTTCATCGGGTCAGATCTCATCTTCGAAAACGGGTGTCACGGCCCCACCGGTATCGGGCGCAGTTTCCGCCATGTGGTCAGATTGGACACCGTGGGGAGAATGCAACAGCGGATGTGCCGCGAGAGAGGGGAGAATTCCGTGGGGCATCAGGGTCTCTACGCGGAAATGCGTCGACCAGACAACGTGAGTGCTCTCGCAAACTTCGGGGATCGGAGATCGTATCGCAGCTCTCAGGCAGCATGGCGTCATCCGCTTCCTGAAACGAGACTTGCCGCTTGCAGGAACATTGAGTTGGGTTTGGAGAAATGTTCCGGACCGAGTTTGAAATCTAAACTCTGCAACGCTACCGTGAGTACAATTCCTACTGTCTCCACCCGAATCAATGACTTCATGGGAGCTCG